AAATACCAGAATTTATTTTTCTCCATATCTCATTCTCTGATGAAGATTTAATAAAAATGAAACATGTTAGATTGATAAACATTTCCTATCTGTTCCTTACCTTATCATTTATATATATATATATATATATATATATATATATATATATATATACACACACACACACACTTCTTGGTAATAAATGCTTTCAAAATAAGGGAAGAAGAATAAAAGTAAAAGCAAGTGTGACTAATTGGCTAATTATATTGGCACACCTTAAATATCACCACAGTTTAGAAGCTATTTTTATAAATTAATAACAGCTATTTTTTTCCCTGAGTCATTACATAAAATCAATACCAAAGGATAAGAACTCAAAATTTCAGTTATTTAATTGACCCGATTTTCCTTTTGTATCAATAAACTAACAAGCATATCTGTAAATATTTCAAGATGTTGAAAATAATCTAATAAGCAACCAAACCAATAATGAAATATTATAAAATGGTTATTTTACATCTTTATATATGCTTTGCAGCTATTTTCTTTTTATAAAGTCTTATTATGAATGCACATTTTTAAGAAATAAAAATCTTATTTATGTTCCTAAGTATAGTCTTTTTGAGCAGTTGATATCTCCCCTATATAAACTTTTTTACATTGTAAACTATTTGGTAAGTGCCATCACCTGAATTAGTATTGAATTTATTTTTCTTCCTAGTATCTCAGATTGTCTTGGTTGATTTGGTTAGATTTTGTTTGACAACATAATAACTCTGATGGCCATTTGTCTTGGATGCGGTGGTAAAGATTCTAGTATTAGGGAGAACTAATTTATTTTCAAGTTTAGTAGAAAGAGTATTAGATGGTTTTAATTATGAATTTTTGTTCACTTCAATGCTAGAAAACAAACTTACAAAATCCACTAATCCAACAAACTAGACACCAACAATAGCACTTATGACAAAATTCCCATTTTACAATGTAATATCAAACACCCATATGAGTATGTCAGTCCTGTTCTGTCAGTAACACATGCATGAATCTCTTTCATTATTTTCAATTCACAATATACAAATTAGTTAATGAAACAAATTTAAGATCAGGAATTGTAAAATTCAGTAGCTATATCTTCAGATTCCACTTTTAAGGGCTAACATAACTTAATTTTCTGTCATTCACAGATGTGTTACTAACTTTCACAGCCTTTTTCTAATAGTGGGCTATTACAAATTCTTCAGTGAGGATAAGACAAAAATATCCTTTTCTACTCACAAGACATATTTCTAAAGTGAGTGTTTTGCTTAAGTTTTCTAACAGTCATACCAATATGAAATAACTTCTAAGTAACATTTTATTCATTATCCATCTATATTTCTGTGATGAGGACACATGGCACAGTGGATAAAGGCGTTAGATCCAGTGACAGGACCCAAAGAGTGCGAGTTCAATACCCAGTTAAGGCAGTGGAGAACTTTCAGACGGAAATTAACTGATAACTGACATCCATTAAACCTGGAACTAGAACAGTCTACCCTAGTGAGCGAAATAAAGGGTTCAGTTCGACATTCCAACCACCTGAAGAAGGCCAGAGCATACAACAGCTGAAACATTGTAATAAATATGGCGACAAAGATGAGGACAATAGTCCGAATAATTATATTCATTATCAGTTCATACCCTAAATGTATTACAGAAATTTTGGTTGCAAATACTTGCCTTTTATTGCTTTCAGTACTGGCTGTTTCTGTAGATATTATTTAAAGGTTGCTATATTTAGCAGGGTGGCGGGTGTGCCCAATATTAGGGATAGAGCATTTTCAGTTAGAAGCAGTGCAGATATGGGAACCAACACTGAATGGTAATTGTATAGATACACTTTTCAGAGCATACCCATCTGCTAGGGTGGCTAAGCAATCAATGTTGAAGATAACAGTTCCATAAAATTTGTGTTTGTTCAACACCCTCAGAGTCCACCTGTGGTTTATACTGCATCTATGCTAAGCAGACTTTAGCTAGTCTCTGAGAGAGAGAGTGCATAATCTAGCATGATCAATTGTTTGAAAAAGGTATCCTCAGTCAGGTTGTGACTTGTGTGTGTGTGTGTGTGTATATATATATATATATATATATATATTTAAAATAAAATTCCCAGAGCAATTCTGTTAAGACAAAATTGAAGCAATATTTTTTTTGTTTCATACTTACATTAAAATTCAAAATTTAAAAAAATATACGCTTTTGTGTAAGCCTCTTTCTGGTTAATGTTAATTTACTTTATACTAAGAGTTTTTTTTTTTTGTATATATATATATATATATATATATATATATATATATATATATATATACACACACACACACACACAAAAGCACAAAGTTTTTTTTACCCAACCAAGAAGTCTCTCCTCCCAAAAATTAATGTTTGGTCATTTAGTCAGATATTTTGGGGGGATGGATTAAGCTAAGAACTCATCAATATGTGTGTGTGTGCGTGTATTTTTATATAATCACAGTGAATGAATGTTTAGATGTATTGTTTGGCAAATTCTATCTGCAATATCACAGGCTATATAAATAAGTCCCATCCAGAGAAAATTAGAAGGCCTACCAGACATTCATTATTGGTGGCCACAACCTTAACAATATAAGATATGCAGATGACCCACTGTTGATAGCAGACATAGAAAGGAAACATCAGAAACTACTACAGAAGGTAGTAATGAAAAGCCAGAAGGACTGAATTATAAGAAGGTAAAAAGTATGGTTGTCAGCAAAAGGGATAGCCCAACATGTGAATTACAAATTGGAAATACCAAATTAAAGCAAGTACAAAAATTTAATTATCTAGGAAGTGTTTAAAAAGAGGGTGAAAAATATGACACCGAAATCCAAAGGCACATTGGGATAACATTGGGAAAAGCTAAACCAAGTATTAAAAAACAGGAAACTTTTGTTAGAGTACTGAATTGTTATGTAATATCAGTTTTCCTATATGGCAGTAATTGCTGGACATTCTGACCACAGATGAAGAGACTTGAGACAACAGAAATATGGTTCTATATAAGGATGAAGAAGATGCCATGGACTGAACAATGGACAGTGAGCAATGAAGAAGTTTTGAGGAATATTTTGGAAACTAAGAGCCCATTTAGTATCGGAAAGAGAGAATAGAAATTTCTAGAATACATGAGGAAAGAAGGGATTGAGAATTCAACACTAATAGGACAGATTGAAAGCAAGATGGGGGGGGCAATAGAAATACACAAATAACCTACCTTAAGAGCATGTGTAAATGACTGGCAGAGCAGAGATTAGAATAGATATCAAAAAGACAAAGTTTATTAAAAGATACAAAGAATAGGAAATAGTGGAGAGCCATGAACGCCCACATCCTGAAGGAATAATGCACATACAGTGTAACCCGGATATAAGAGAGTTGTCAGGACCAGAGAAGAAGTCTCTTATATCCGGGTTTGGTCTATTTTATATACATTTAACACAGGCTTTAATTTGGGACCAGAGAAAATCTCTCTTATATCCGGGTCTCTTATATCCGGGTTACACTGTAGAAGAAAATGATAAGGTTAAATATTTTCCTTTTTACATAAATTATCCATTTTTTTGTTGTTCTATTAAAAAGTCTTTAAATGATAGGAATTTAAAGGAGAAAAAAAACAGCTTCAGACGAAGAACAGGATGAGAGATAAGATACATAGCTGTCAGTGGATTCAATGGCTTATGTGGTACAGGCATTGCTGCTTTTCTTATAGATTGAGTTCAAGTCTAGTCTAAAGGTAGTTCTGAATTTATACCACTTAGAAACGATAAAAGAACTTTGCAATCAAGTAATCTTGTGATTAATACAAGCAAAATTATGAAAAGATTTTTTTTTTTTTAAAGTTGAAAATTTTAAATGAAGAAACAAAAAGGAAAAAAAGCCCCAAATCAAGAAACAAAGGGAAAGATTTGCCTAATTTAGAGCAAACATCCCTAAGTTTCAGCGTAATCTGCTAATTACAGCAATAATGGACAATAAAATCAGAAATCATTTTGCAAAATTCTCAAAATCTTCTACATCTGATGAATTAAAAGTCATTGTGTTTAAAGCACCAAGTGCTAAAAATATATCTCTAGATTTATTATGATGACTATTGGACACTGAAACACGGCAACTTTCAACAAGAACATTCAATGTAAGTGATACTTACCCAAGTCCTATTCCTCATTACTTGAGATCCCAATTCTACCTAATTTTGAATATAGTTTGGTTTTGTTCCACTACTGAAATTATAACTTGCATATATGACTACAATTTTTTCCCAGTTCCTTCCTTAACTAAAACTATTCCTCTTAGATTTCAAACACCTTCGATTAGAGCCAAATACGTAGCATTTCCTTTCAGGTTCATTCAAACTTACAACCTTGTTGGTTTTATTAAAAAAACAATTTGAACAATAAAGTAAAATATGGTACTGACAATACCTAGTCTAAAGAAATCAAATGAGTGTTCCCATTCAAGAATCTGTGCAAATCAGTTAAGATAAAATCTCAATACAAGAGATTTTTGTTTTAACTACTAAACATTTCTCAGGTCATCTAAAGATTTCCTTTTCACACTGTTTTGTATAGGTTTCCACTTAATGAAACCATCATCTACATTTTGGTCAACCCTCAGTTATTTACCCCAAAAAGTGATCTTAAAAACTTGACTTATTATACACAAGTGTGTGTGTGTGTATATATATATATATATATATATACTGGATTCTTCTACATCATGTCGATTATGGTTATGGCTTCAAAAATAAAGATTTTGAAGAAGATTCCACATTTGTTGCAGGACTGCTAATGCTTAGTTAGTTTGGGGTTTCCATAGAAAGTGCAGGAAAAGCTATGGCAACTGGAAGATTTCTGATTTTGCAGGGTTGCAGGTTGGTGGGAGGCCAAAGAGAATTGGAATTCAAATCTCTGATTAAAAATTCCAAACCATTATCCATTACGCTAACCAGACATTCAAGTTTACAGCACCTGATATTCACAAGCAGTCACCCATCTAGGTACTGACCAGGCTCAATGTTGCTTAACTTTGGTAATCATATGGGAACTGGCGTTTTCAATATGACGTGGCCCTAAGCTCTGTGTATACATACAGACAAACACAAACATTATTGCACACAGTGTTCAATGTAAAATATAAAGTACAGAGCAATACACAATATAAAAAAGGAAACTTTACTTACCTTTTGCTATATCTGCAACCTACTATTCAATATGCTCTTGCAAGTTTTAAGCAATTGCACAATTTACAGGTGGATTGAGACTTGTGCGATCGCTTTAAAAAATCACAAGTGGGAATGAAACTGCAAGTCATAGATATAGCAGAAGCTAAAGTTTCTTTTTTATATTGTGTGTGTGTAAATTACTTTATATATATATATACACACATACATACATACATACATACATACATACTGTCATTTATGCATCAACTTTGTGAAATCAGAAGACAAGATATTTTCTGTCTGAATTTCTGGGATGAAGAGTAACTATTATTTAAGTTTAGAATAATGACCTCATCTTTGTTACTATTGACTCCAACATTTCAGCCATTTTGACCTTCGACCTTCTTTAGGTATCTGGATAACTTCAAGAGAATTTTAAAATGAACACTTTATTTGATTTATGGTGGCAGAGTGTTCTCATTCCACTGACCATATCTGGGGATATCTTGTCTTGTTCTTATTTAGTACTGTTCAGTTATGGCTCATTTACAAATACCTGAAAAAGTCCAAAGGGTACAACAGCTGAAACTTTGCGATAACACCAGATGAGGACAATAGTCCAAATGTGAATTATTATGAATAAGAGAGACTTTGTTAAGAAATTGATAATTGAATTAAAAGCTAGGGTTGGTTAAGAAAGTTTCTCATGTGACATGATCTTAACATTAAGAGAATGAGAATAGTTGCATGTTGGTGATTTTGAAGCCCAATTGCTTTACCCAGGAGCAAGAGATCTGTGCATTTGTCTGCAATTCTTTTCAGAGAAAATGGAAACGGATTTGGTTTTACCTTAAATGATTATACAGGATTTCCGTTTTAGAGAGCTTTTTTTTAGCACTTGGAGATCTGGAGGTTCAAGCATAAGTCAGCAATTATTTACACCTTCATACTTTCTGCTTTCAAAGAATTACTTAAAATGCAGTTCAAAAATAAAAATTACTGCATTTTTACCATCTTGCAAAAAAAAAAAAAAAAAAAAAAAGCAAAGAGATAACTCAAATTTTATTTACTTTTTTTTTGTTACGCATAAAAAAAAAAACAAATATCAAATAACCATTCAGATGAAACCTAAAGTTAACATTTCAAATTAAACTTAACATTTGTAGGCATTAAAAACAGTGCTTAAAAAATGATCATATATGAGTATAAATGTAATAAGCAACAACAGTGTTGTATTCTGTGCTAATAGGAATATATATTTGAAAAACAAGGTGGATAATGTAAGTAAAGATTTATTGTAAACAACCAGTACAATAAAAATAAAGGTAACAGTTATGCACACAGTCATCGCAAGTCAATCCAGTAATGACTGCTACTATTGGAAGATCGGTAGTTCTCACGTAAGTCTGAGTCATACTCAATAGATACTAGCTAGTCAATATTTATTACCCACCCCTACAAGGGTAGATGTGGCACAAGGCAGAGTTTAATGCGTGTCATCCAAGCCCATAGGCTTGGCCAAAAATTCCCCATAGAAACCACATAAACAGGTTCAAGTCTGTCTACCTCCCCAGACGAAACTGCCATTCAGCATAGCCTAGTTCGTATTCCTCCCTGCCTGAAGGGCAGAGAGTTTGACACTACAGCTGGAACAGATTCCAGCTATATTTACTAACCTCCTGACGTGATCAGATGTGGCACAAGGCCAGGTTAAATGTGGGGCATCCGAGTCTGTAGGCTCAGCCAAAAATTCCTGTAGACTCCATATAAAATGGGGGTCAGGTAGCCGTTTCCCGAGACAAGACACTGCTCTTTGGCATAGCCTCGTTCAGGTTCCTCTCTGCCTTCAGGCAGAGAGTTCGACAGTACAACTGGAACAGATTCCAGCTAGTCTCTGTAATCCGTCGAGTTACAGATACTTATAGGTAGTTACTACCTATAGTGTAGTCACTCATGGGGGTGACAGGTTATTCCGTTACATCAAATAGTAACAAGAAAATTATCAGACAAGATCCAAAATATCTTTTCAGCTGATGAATTTACAGGTTGTAGCATGCAACTCATCCTCAGATGTTGTCAAAATGGACTTTGTTCTTAGTGTTTCAGAGAAGCCAGGTGCATCAGTGGGCTGACCTGAAAGATGGACTCTAAATCACCAGGTACAGATCCATGCTTCACCTAATGTCAGTGATTGCCCCAAAAATGTAAACATACAGCAAACCAAGCTGTGGCTAAAATGTGCATGTGTGAGAAAAAAATTGTATGATAGATATACGAATAACCACCAAAGCAAGAGGAGGAGAGAGCTTCTCATGTTCTAGCATGATGCAGAATCCATGTTAGGTAAAAAAAAGCTCACAGCAAAAGTTCAATAAAATGTAACATTACATACAAGAGATTTAATCTCATCTTTTTGTTAGTTATGTACGACAATAGAATTATAAAATTATAAAGTAAGAATTGGGAGCCTTTTTCAGTCAGTTCTCAGAATCAAAAATGGATTCTTCTACATCATGATGATTATAGTTATAGATTCACAAATAAAGCTTTTGAAGAAGAATCCACATTTATTGTAGGACTGCTAATGCCTAGGTGAGTTTAATGTTTCCATAGAAAGTGCAGAAAAAGCTATGGCAACTGGAAGATTTCTGATTTTGCAGGGTTGCAGGTTGGTGGGAGGCCAAAGAGAATTGGAATTCAAATCTCTGATTAAAAATTCCAAACCATTATCCATTACGCTAACCAGACATTCAAGTTTACAGTCACCCATCAAAGTACTGACCAGGCTCAATGTTGCTTAACTTTGGTAATCATATGGGAACTGGTGTTTTCAATATGACATGGCCCTAAGCTGTGTATACATACAAACACAAACATTATTGCACACAGTGTTCAATGTAAAATATAAAGTACAGAGCAATACACAATATAAAAAAGGAAACTTTACTTACCTTTTGCTATATCTGCAACCTACTATTCAATATGCTCTTGCAAGTTTTAAGCAATTGCACAATTTACAGGTGGATTGAGACTTGTGCGATCGCTTAAAAAATCACAAGTGGGAATGAAACTGCAAGTCATAGATATAGCAGAAGCTAAAGTTTCTTTTTTATATTGCGTGTGTGTAAATTGCTATGGCCTGAAGAGTGGACAGACAAGTTCGCCTAAGAAACTCTGTAGTCAGGATGCTGAAGGTAACATCAATCAGTTAAGTGATAAACTTTTACTTAACTATATATATATATATATATATATATATATATATATATATGTGTGTGTGTGTGTAAGTGTGAATAAAAACAAAAGGAAAAGTTATCTATGTCAAATGTATAGTTTTTATTTTGCAACAAGCCTTTATAAACAGAAGTAATTTTTTTTTTTTTTAAATTAAAAACATTCATAAATATACTTCATGTTAAAGTCAAAGTAAATTATGGAAGATACTAAGTGATGTAATTTAATGCCTAATAAAAAAAGTGAGTAAATCTTATCAAATTCTTTTTTTTATAATTATTATTTATATTATTTTCGTTTGAGATTAATTTATATATTATTAAATAAGTTTTGAATTCAAACATTTTCTTTTAATTTTTAAAAAAATTTGTAGTCATGTATGTTGTCTTGAGAAAGGACTATTTCTTTTAGGAAAGAAGATATTTAAGGAGAAAATATGGTGTTTTTCCTTTATTCATACTGTCTTTTTACAGATTATATTATATTATATATATATATATATATATATCTCCGCTACCCGGTGTACAAGAAAGGACAACTTTGAATTCAAAACCTTAGGAGAGCTGTTTGAAGACCTCATGACAGATGAGTGTACCAGTTCTCTGTATTTAGTTCTGTAGAAGCATTCCCCACTACAATGTTGCAATTAAACCTACACAAAGAAATAATCTTTTCTTTCAGACAGAAAAAGAGGCCAGCAATTCTAAGAAAGTAACCAATATTCTATCTTAGCAATTACTGCCCTTTAAATGATTAAGAATTTAGGTACTATATATAAAAACTAGACATGGCATCCCTAGACATGGGCAATGGAACACAGACTAAATAAAGGGATTTTATTTATACACCAGAGAAGTGTCCTATGGGACAATGGCCTAGGGGATTAATAGTTGATTCATGAATTTGGTGACATAGTAATTGTGAGTTCAATCCTTGGGTTGGGCAGTGTGTGCACTTGGACTCAGTGGAAACAGAATGCTAAATATTCTAAATAATACTGAAAATAAGAACTTTGCGAGATATCGTTAGACCAGTCTACCCTCATAGATTAAATAAAGGGTTCAGTTTGGAATTCCCTGTAGGTTACCCAGACCGACATACACCTGTTAAAGGTTGAAGAGGACAACAAAAATGAGGACAATAGTCAGCATGTAAATCAGAATTTAGCATTATGCCAAAACGTTTTGCCAATTGTTATCAATGAAAATATTAAGTGTAATTTATTTTACCAACAAATATTTAAACAATTATGTTAACTTTAATTTTGGAGGTTATTTGATCTTTGTTTTTTATTTTTTCCTGTTTCTTTTTTTTTTTTTTACGAGTTTTAAAAACAAGGAACGTAGAAGGTTTTTTTTAAATTTTTCTCAAGCAAAGCAGAAATTTTGTGAGACCAAGTTTCAAACAGAACCATGATATTGTATACAAATCACATGCAAAAAATAAAAATGAAAAAGATGATTTCTTTTTTTTTTTCTAATTATCTCTTTTCTCTTAATAAATTGGAATAATTTTAAATGATGCAAAGAGTGAATGCATTGAGTTGTGAAAGGCTTTCTATAGTGACACACATGTGCTTAAGTAATACAAGCACTAGAAATGGTATTCATTATGAACTTCATCATACCAACATCTGATTATACAGTAGACAATCTTTAAAGAACATTTTTTTTAAGAATGGAAGTTAATTTCATTCTTTTAAAATAACAAGTGAATTGAAGCTAAAGTTTTGAAATATATGCAATTATATTATACATGCACCTTTAAATTATGTGTGAGATTTTAATATATAAAATTGTGTATTTGGGCAACAATCTGTCTTTAATACATTTTGTTGAAGACTGACAAGGTACTTTTTGTTTAGTTTTTTTTATTATGTTTTTCATGTATACATACAAGTGTCTTCTTTTTTGGACTTAATAGATGAAAAAATTGTCCAAAAGTTTGTGACAGGCATGGGTGGTGATTCATTCAACATATTTATAGGTTTATTTTTATTGGGAATGAAGTCCAATATAAGACATCTGTTGCAGGCTGGTGTATGTATTGAGAGATAAGTACATCTGTCTCCTGAAATGCCCACAATAAACATGGCAGACTCGGGATGTGAGTCCACATAAATAGATGTAAAGAAATGACAAGAACCGAAAATTATGTAGAAGTAAATGATAATGTATTAACAATAAAGGGTTACGAGTGACAAAGACAAAGGTGTGTGTGTGTGTGTGTGTGAAGTGAATGTGAAAACCTTTTTGGTCCAAAGTATGTGTAGTGAGTGAATGTACGTACATACATATGTGTATGCATATTATTCATGCATTTTCCAAAGGGAACGCATTCTCCCGTGAGAAACTTACATGTTGACATGTAAGCAGAAAAAATATCGCCAAGTATTTATAGTCCAAAAAGTGTCCCCTAGTAGCAGTTTTGAAAATTAAGAGGAGTTAACTCAACGCTTCTAAGTTAATGAATTATATTGGTCTCATTTTAGTTTGGATTTTTGTCAGTGAGATGTTATTTCTGATAATAAGGTTAGATGTTTTAGGAATTTTAATTTTTTATAGGAGATAATTAATTTGATATTTTTAGTTCTTTCAACAGGAGCAGTTTATCTTTCTTTTTTTTTATATATATAGAGAAGTAACACCCCACTAACCAAATGTGTGTGTGTGTGTGTGTGTGTGTGTGTGTGTAATATAGTTTTAATGTACGCTTTGGTTATGGGTTAAAGTGCTCAATATCAGAAACAGAGCACAAGTAAATATAAACTGAGCACAGAGATTAACACCAAACAGCAAGACTATTTCATGCTTGAAAGCAATCTTCAGGCCATATATATTTTACAAAAGTTAAGTTTGCTTATTTTTATCATAATCCTTTCATATTCATAAATATTTTTCTGTATATTACAATTAAATAAGGCAAGAAATGTATTTATAATTTATTCAATCAGACATACCTAAAAGAGAATTTGCTGCCTATATATATATATATAATACCAAAATGGAATTGGTAGAGATTATTCCAAAGAGGACTTTTCAGTTCATATGAGAGCTCAATGTATCATACATAATTTGGAATAAAAAAAACAAACAAAAAAAAACCCCTCTTCTGTGAATTTTGACATTTTATTGTAGCTCCGTTTTAAAATTAACTTTCCTCTCTACTTACTTTCCCTTTATATTAACTCTTTTTTTTCTGTTCTCTCCCTTCATAATGTAAGCCCCCTCCCCCAAAAAAAAACCTTTTCTAGGTCAATTTATTTTTGCTCGTCTTACCTTGTATTTTTTTTTTATGTCTGTCTGGGATATCTTGATTCCATTTCATAGAATGTAATCGGCCTGATGAGTTTATTACTGACTACGGATTTTTACGGTTTTTTTTCCTATGTAGTTACTAAGAGTTGTTTTCTTGTTTTTTATAAGAGCTTCCACCATTTTTAAACACTTTCTGCAGTAGGATGTGGTACGTACTGTATTACATCTGCATTCTCAGTGAATATGTTTTATATTGAAGATGATGTAATTCCTTGATGGTTCAAACGTGTTTGTTTTGATCTCTCGTCAGAGAAGTGACAGCTTGATAGTTAGGTGATAGGGTGTCCAACAATTATTTATGGGTTTGTTTTCCTTGGGAAACACAGGGGGGCATCCAAATTCAAAAATTTGGTCTATCAGACACTGTTTTGATTTTTGTCAGTGAGGTAGTATTTCAGATGAGGCTCGATGTTTTTAATAGTAGATTATTAATTCAATATTTTTAGTTTACAAACTAAAGACAAGAATAACATAACAAAAAAAACTAGAGAAAATTACCTTATCAGTTCTGTTCAACGAAACATTATATAAATTCACACACACACACAAGACATAAAAGTGTGCTGAAAAAAGTTTCAGTGCAATACACTTTCCCAAAAATTCAGTATTTTGATATGCAGTTATTGAAATACTGATTTCAGAAAGAGAATAAGTCCAAGAATTCTTCAGCACCACAAAGAATTCTATCAAAATTCTAAACATGAAACTATTTCAGAGTCTGTCTATATTTCTGAGATGAGGTATTATGTACAGTATTTACATTAGTCGGACTATTGTCCTCATCTTTGTCGCCATATTTGTCACAATGTTTCGACTGTTGTATGCTCCGGCCTTCTTCAGGTGGTTGGAATTTCGAACTAAACCCTTTATTTCGATCACTGGGGTAGACTGTTTTAGTTCCACGTGCCATGTTTGATGGATGTCAGTTATCAGTTATCTCCTGCTAATTTTCCCTCTGAAAGTTCTCCACTGCCTTAACCGGGTATTGAACTCACACTCTTTTGGGTCTGTCACTGGATCTAACCAACGCCTTTATCCACTGTGCCATGTGTCCTTGAGGGGTGACAATAGTCCGACTAATGTAAATACTGTAAATGAAACTATTTGTCTCATTAAATGTATATACAGGTTTGTTTCTTAAAAAAAGAAAGGGCATTATTTACTAACTTACAACACGTACTCATAAAAACAATTAACTGTTCCAATATCGCAAATCATTCAATGCTCTCAGAAAAAAAAAAGGATATTGAAAATATTTGGATGTTGACAATGCTAGGAGATTTTAAAGATCTCAGTAA